ACGCAATTTGAAGACAATATAACGACCCCCCTCCCCATTCTCACGTTACTTCTACACCCAGTCACAGACACAACTATGCCCGCTAAGCCTCCAAATTCCGCCACTTTCCAAAATAAATTATTCAAGAACAAAAAGAGCAGTTAAGACTGTGCGGCCAGATACGATATCTTCACCTTAAATCGCGGGAAAATTACATCAGTGGAAATTTAATTGTGAAGCTCCGGCTGTAGTTTGGGAGGCCGAGAGAGAGTTGCGCGAACGGATCAAATGACTCTATAATAGAGAGGCCGACGTGTTTACATTTATAATGAAATACGCGGTATTGAAGCAAATTTGGCATGAATTTTTTAGAACTTCGAGTTCCTATACACGTGTGTGTGTGTACGCTGGGAGTGTGGACGCCAGAATTTTGGCGGGAAAATGAACTAGAGGGCGCCTCTGAGCGTTGCAAAACCGCTGCCGCGGCGCGATTTTTTATTTTGTCGTTCATTTCAGTAAATGGCGGACGGTCGGACAAGGGGACAAGATATGCCGTATCCCTATCGAATATTTCATACATCGAAACACACACACAATTTTTAGCTGTCGATATGAACAAATACCCACACGTCTCGCTCTACGTAAAGAGTAATGGAGAGTCCTGACACGAAAAAAATCCTGAGATGTGGATGTTTTTCCCCCGAATTTTCGAACCCCGCCCTAGCGACGCACCTGGTCACGTACCCAGTCAATTGTTGTCGTCTGCGAAATGTCCCGGATGGACTGTTGGCTCTCCCAGGTGAAATATGTGCGGGCTGGCGTGTGAGTGATACAAGATACCGCTCCCTACCGTAAACCAACCACGTTCTACCTCGTGTTTACATCACAATATTATCCTTTGTGATCTCTCTGAATTAAAAACATTCCTAGCTGAGCCCAAGGCTCAAATGTTACGGTTATTTTGAAATTTGTTGTCATTTGTAGCTGCCTGAGTTCGCAGAACAATAGATGAGGTCATACTCTGTGAATCCGTCTTGTCAGGTCCACATTTTTCTAACGATTTCTTGAAATGTCGTAACGGTATTTTTGTTTCCAGTGAAAATTTCGTTAAAAGTGAACATTTATTTTAATATCTACAAATGCAGCACATATACTGATGTACAAATTGAAAATGGCAAGTATTATTTCTGATATATTCAACAGCCGATATATAGACATTGCATTCGTTACATTGTTGCACTCAGAGAAAACGGCGAAAATGAGAATTTTATAGACGTACGTTTCATCAATTTTAAGCAGGAAGAATTTCAATTTGTTCCCGATAAAATCGAACAATGCCTTTCCGTGCCGTACCCGGTCCCGCGTATAACGTTGATTATGTTTTTGTAGCCATATGTCGCGTCAATGCACCCATTGTTCCTCACCGTTTCACCCCACGTAATTCAAAAACGATTTTAAAAAACCTGCCCTAGTGTTACCTGTTTGTCAGAAAAAAAAGACGTAGATTTTTGCCTCTAGAGGTGCTTTATCCATTAGGTTAAAGAGAGTCACAAAAGCAGGAGCCAAATTACATTCTGCCGGTGATGGCTGTTGATAGCAAGGGCTGAAATTTAATTTGGACATCCCGGTATCCCTCCTTTTTATCGTACAGCCGCCCTGGACACGCTAATCTCTTCTAGTCTCTGTTATCTTCGGCTAAAAACGTCGCACAGTTCCGACGCTACTCTGTCCTCGTAAATACCGTTTCGATCGGTTTCAACGGAAGGTGTTACTGTTTCAGAATTCGTTTAGACAATTCGTAGCAGTCTAAAGAAAAACGCGACTTTGTTGCGAACGTGGATACATAACCCATTCTGAGATATTTTGAACAATCACATTTGTCTGTCTTCACCTTTTAAGAGGGTTAGCCAATATTTACGTGTAGATGATGATTCAAAATTTATTCTTTACAATGTCACCCAAAAAATTAGCACTAGAAAAATTCGGCAGTATCTACAGTGGTAACGACAGTATCTACAGTGGTGTTTATAATGATAGTATGTCCTTTCCAGTGTGTATAACACTGTGATGGCTTCTTTATATGTGACTCAACCGCCACCATATTCTACATGGACCCCGGTAAACGGAGGAAACAGCGCAATCCCGCGAGGAAAATCCCCACCGCCGCCTCCGGAATGCCAAACTCGGGGGGAGAAAACGACATTTAGGGGAGATCTTCTCCAATCTGCAGGGTAATGGCCTCCCCGCCACCATTACCGACAAGTCAGGGGTTGTCAGATCGGGAGGAAAGAGGGGAGAGAGAGATGGTGATGATACTTCTCAGATATGGAACCATGCTGTTAAAAATACTGCGTCACAAAAGAAACGGAACGTTATAAACGCACCGGAATGGAGAATTTTTCTTTTCTTTGAGATGAAAAATTGAAATCACAGTTATCACCACAATCGTTCAGACAGCGTCACAGTAATACGATATAACCTTGTACTAAACTGTTATGTTATCTTGCTACAAGAACGTAGCTGTTCCAATAGTATAATTTCGTTTGTATCCTACTTTTCCACTTCTTGTTTTAGCCTCAATCTATTCCCCGATTCTCCGTTTTCGGGCAATAAGGTACAGTAGCTTATCTAAAGAAGGTATATTTTGGTACGGATATTTTTCATACTATCTTTCCAATCTCCTAGTATTTTCACGAGGATTAAAGCAATTTTGTATAAAGTCACAGATGGGTATGATAAATGTACAATATTGTATAAAAATTGAACATTTCCAACAAAATAATCTTAAAAATCGTCAAATACTGAGTTTGAAGGTACAGTCTAGTGTTAAAACAAGTGTTCAGACTATACACAAAATGCAAGGTTTACTCGTATTCGAAACAAGACTGCCCGTGTATTTGGAGAAGCGTCACACGACAGGAGTGTCCTGACAGTTTGTCTGTGAATAAAGCTATTATTATACCGCCGTATGTGTGGGAAAGTGCCGGGGGCGAGACAGGGACACACGCCGGGGATAAACCAGCGTTTACCGGCAGGGTTTTGCCCCGTCACGCACATACAAGACTGGTAATACAACAACCATTCTGTAAGGTCAAAGAAATACAGTACTTGTACAATATCATGTGAACAAAACAGACAGCCAAGTCGAACTGTTTTCATACTGAAACGCGATGTAATTTTGTACGCAAACTCTTTTCAGGGAGTCGTATCCCTACTGTAAGGTTTGCCTTTTTGTGTCACAAATAAATAAATGTATTTCTCTTAATTTTAACAGAATAACCATTTTGTCTTCAATTGTTTTCGCATTGAAGAATGTGGTAGGGAAATTTTGTTAAATTTATAATAAATGCAATAGTTCGAAGACCTCACTACCCTGGTTCCTTACAAGATTAGAAAGTTTACTTCTAGAATTCGAAAAGATAAGATCGATCTAAAAAAAGGCTTAACGCTGAACGCTGGTTATCTTGTAGCTTTTAAAAGTGTTGTTGCAATTGATAAATGGTATATATTTTTTTCTTTGGGGACGCTTTTCAAGTTTATAAAAATATGGGGGAATATATTTTATGTAATTTCAAACACATTGCACACCATGTGTCGAGACAAGAGAAGACTTCAGTGATTCATCCATTTAGTTTAAACCTTATTATGATAACAACAACAGATTTATAGAATAAAAAGCCGCATGTCCCCCGGGATACATTTTTGCACGCCGGTTCAAATGCACGTCAGACGTTTGACGTCACCCCACACCCCTGTACGTAAGAAAGACTCACCTAACTTTGTCTATACTGACTATTCAACTGATAACAAAAATCAAACTGACATTTTGCCTTAATGAGTGAAAAACCCATATCCAACCTACATTGAGTTTTACAAACTGATAATTTTTGGTCAAGAATTGAGAAGAAAAACCAAAATGTGGTTCAGATCTAGTGACGACAGAAAAATTCCCGACACTTAATGTTGCAAAATCGGGAAGCTTTTGTGATTATCTGGAACGTTCATTCTATCCATACCCAGCCCATTTGGAGGTTTACATACTGCAAAGCTGACATTTTGTGTAAACGAGTGGGAAGAAAACCAAAAATGTGGTTGAGAACTAGCGATAGAGAAATTCAGAACACTTGGGAAGATTTTGTCATTATCTGGAACGTTCATTACGTCCATTCCCAACCCATTGGAAAATTTTCAGAGAAATGCACATACTCGGGAAATTTTTTTCAGAGAAATTCACGTACTCCGGAATTTTTTCAGAGAAATTCACGTACTCTGGAATTTTTTCAGAGAAATTCATGGCACTTTGAAAGCTCTTACATCATCTGGAACATTCATTCTATCCATACCCAACCCATATGGAAGCTTACAACTTGACATTTTGTGTCAAGGACTTGTGAAGCCTTTGTCATACGTTTATTATCTATACCCAACCCATATGGAGGTTTGAAACTTACGGAAGTGTCATCACTGCTAAGGAAGACGTAAGGATTGTTGTTCCGCTAAGTAGACAAACAAACAAAGAAACAACGGTGTAAACAGACAGCCACATCGCGCGACACTTAACACTGAGCAACAATAATTTGTCACAACAAAACATACCTATATAGAACTGTATATACATATGACATGTCACAATACGTTTCATTTATAAATATACACCACAACGTACGTTGCTTGTTGACATTTTAGAGAAATGTCAAATTAACAGGAGTGAAAGATAATATCAGCGCAACTTATTTGTAAAATCAGAGCCTCATTTTCTACAGTTTGGAAAACATTCTCTGTTTCAGGGAAGCAAGTAAAACAGGAAAGATTGAAGATATACTTTTAGCACAACTGTTACAATAGACAACGTTTTGTGTGCAAGTTACGGAGAGGTACATTCTGATCTCCAGATGTAGCCTCTACCAGGCTTCAGAAACGGTCGGAATGACTAGAAAATTACCAAATTAATAGCCAGGACAGTTGATTTAGCGCCCTTGCATGTTATCTGATTATTTGGCTAATTTCTAGTCTTTTCAGTCGCTTCTGAAGCCTGGTAGAGGCTACTGGTTCAAAAGAACAGAGTATGTGTGAAACTCTACAACGCAACATGCAATGTTACAAAACTGAAGACTTCTTACCTGCATAGAAGTTCCTCCGAGATCCAGCCGATACTGATGCTGTAAGAGAGAAAACAAACAAAGATGAAGACTTGTACCCAATACATGGCTTTTGTGTATACACGGGTTTAAAAAGGTTTACATTAGCGTGATTGCTGAATCAGATAGTCTATGCTTAGAAGGTATTTATTACATCTGGGAAAAGGTACCGTGCTTGAAAGGCATCCAGTACAATTTCAGGGCGACAAAACAAAGAATATTCTGGATGAGGAAATTTGTCTAATATTGACATTTGCTACCATTTCCTAGCATATTTTCGTCATTATTTTATACTTGAAGTGTATGAAATAGCCAGGAAATCGTATTTTTGCCTCACAGATATCAATATGCTTTGGGGATGGATTGATTCAATTTACTATTGAAAGAACGACTAGAAAATTTACATTGGATGCCCATGAACTAGTTAGTCAAACATTTTGTTGTTTACATAGAACCTCCAATCGGTGAAAATAGGATTTCTGATATTTCCATGGGTTGTTTTATGTCCCGTACTAAGATACGAATCGTCTCGGTGAGAATCCCCCAAGCGGGCGGCGGATGTCAGCAATTTTACCCGCTCAGGAAAACGATGTTGAAAGAGTGCTCCTATGGGAGTATGCACTAACATATCACGGCGACGGATATGTTTTTACCGAATACTTGAGGCCTTGGGAGAATTTTCTCGACACATATATCCACCGGACACGTCCGGAAGATTTAGCGGGGCGAACCCTGCACCTCTACCGAGCAGACTTAATCTGTCACATGATAAATTCATCGCCGACTGATCCCCCAGGTGAAGAAGAGATTCCCAATCCTCCTAGGGATTCACCAGTCTGTTTCTTCATTTTGTATCCACTGTTTATACAATATGCTACTGTCTCTCTCACCCTGTGTTGCTTGTATGAAAAAATATGCACACACGGCAGAAAATACGGACCGTAAGACAACCTGTTTACTTGTGTTCGTAGGAGACAATAGAGCGATGTTTTCACTGAAAACCTGACCCCAATTTCCTGTATATTCACCTGCCTACAAACTTGTTAAATCCGCGATATGAATAGACATAAAACCTGACCCTTTTGCGGACTAAGATACCACTTAAATCGACGAATGCACGGAATGCGGAGAAGGACGTTATAGAATTGAGGGGAACAACAAGGGCACGCAATTTAAACCAGCCAGTTAAACGCAAAGAAATGTGAATTTCGCTGGCGCCACACGCAACTGTACTTGATGGCATTTTAATTCTTACAACTTGACAATAAAAGCAAGCTACAAAAATGTCCTTGGTAAATACATGAAGGGACAAACAGAAAGTCACTTCTTTTGGAAAGGAAACGCAATCGATACCATAGACAGAATTATTGGAGTTGATAATAGTAACCACGACAGAGACGGTTTGGCGGCAAACATCAGATTCGAAGGATCTCAGTAGATTCCCACCCAAGATTTCTACGGTAATTTATATGAAAAAAAAATTTTTTTAAGTACGTGGTGGACAAGATAGTTTGAGATTATAGTGTGCTTAAGCAGCCTCAGTGCAGGTGCAAACATATTTTCAAAGCATTTTAGAAATTTGAGTTAAGGGTAGTCATGCGGCCCAATGTTGAAATCGAAGGCAACAAGGGATTTCTAAGTGTTATAATGAAATTGTAAATGGAGAGGGGACGGCCTTCTAACCGCGATGGTCCACAGTCTGTATTGTCCACGGTAAACAGATAAAGATCGCCGAGGGTAAAAACAGATGCGGGGCGGTGATAGAGGATGCTCCCTCCCGCCTTCTGTCACTACTGTACTGTACTCTCCTAGCCGCCATAATGACAGCTAAAGCATGACATTCTGTTAAGGCGTTCTTACATGTTCAATAGAAAAACACACTTACAGATATGTCTAAAACTGTTCACACTTACAAATTAGATTATGGCACAATAATCAAGTTGTCATTAATAGGATTTTGAGACGGTTATACATTCTTTAAGTATAGAACACTCGGGAAATCCACTTGACATGGAGTCGTTTTAAAATTTTTCCCCTCTCCTGGTCATGGATTGTGCCCGCCACGGTCGCCATTCAAATCTCATCATCCGGACCAAATGACAGAAGAATTACGCAGTCAAGCTCACAGCAAAGCGCATTTTAAAGATCATCAGATGTACATTACCGGGTAAAAAGATCCTCTCCACCACTTAGCATAAAGACCTTTAAATTTGCCGTCCTCGGTCCCGTATCAGTCCATAGTTCTGCAGACCCAAACAGATGGCATTCCCGTATTGACATCATCTTCACACACCGGGCATGAGAACAGGTACATACAACAAGCCGACCAATTTTCTAGGCGGCGTTTTCCAGTTGGATTGTTTGCTATTTTGTCTTTGTTTGTAGTGTGGGATTCGAACCCCTGACCCCCGGTCATGCAGTACACCTGTCGTGCCGGAGTCGACCTGACAGCGGTGAACAGACGTCAAGCAGACAAGAGGATGATCCAAATTGGCCGCGAGGCAAGAAGTATTTAGTACAATTCTGAATAAAATATATTTTGTATAAATATTGGATCCTTTGCGGTATTCGCTGCCTTAGCTAACAGACGTTGGTAATTTGGAAACATTTCGGTAATGTTTTGTGGAAGCCGAGGTACCTGTTCTTTGTTTTTACAGGAAGGTAGCGCTTGGGTGGGTTCCGACAAAGGCAGGTAGACATACACGAGATGTCCTTTGTTCGCGGCACGCGTCCGGGGTACCGCCCGGGGGCTCAGGCCGCCAGGCCGGCCAGGCAAGCCCGTAAGGTGCCCCCGGTCGACCCCCTGCCCTCAGTCTGTCTGTAATGTCCCGGTAAGGCACAGTGGTATTACCCGGGCATTTCCCAGCCCCAATCGAGTTCAGAATAAACACGGAATAGAGTAGGTATCATTAATACTTATGTTTCGGAAACTAGAAGAATGAAGTATGAATAGGCGACTCACCGGCGCATCTATTATACATACGGCCTAAGAGAAACTTGCATCTCTGAGCATAACTGTAAACATACATACAAAGTGCCGGTTATTAAAAATAAATTTTGCCGCCGCGAGTTGGTGAGGAGTTAAAACGGCACCGGCGATATCTCAGGTTAGCGGCCGCACAGCCGGGAAAAAGGCGCCGCGAAAAGCGGCTAAATCTACCTACCATGGTGAGACGAGGGTGTCGGGGTCTTCCCTACTCGGCGGTCGATCGTTGCTTCATTTGCAACTTTTCATGCCTTCTGTAATATACCCGGGCGGCCAGAGCCTCGTTAATTATTCATGAGGCAGCGGAAGACCCTCCCCTTTCTTGCCACCACTCTACTCCCAATGAATTGGACCAATTATCCTCCCTCAACACAAATTTCACGACGTGATTAAAGATCCCCGAGCCCCAGAAGACCAGGCCACCTCCGAGGTAAAATCGACGGGTGAAAACTTTGCCAATATTCCCTGCAAAATAAAACAGGCCAGGAAAGCAATAAAGTCGCGTTAATATCTTAATAGCTGGCTGATCTGTGGACCCTGTTACGGATATTTATTGGTTCTATTAATAAGTTGGACGCGGGGAGGAAAGGAGAAATGTCCGGGGATACTGCGCACGCAGGGCGGCTTGTCAGCGACTCAATGGTTCCTGCACGTCACCGGGTTAGCCTCGCTCACAGGCTTCAGAGCAGGTCGTTATGGATTGAATGGTTCCCAGGCCCTGAGTGGTTCCTGCAGGTCACCAGGCTACCAGAGGGGATAGCCTCGCACACAGGCATATTGTAGGGCTTCGGGTCGGCTTGTCATGTCATAGAGTGAATGGTTCCTGCACGTCACCGGGGTACCAGCGGGGATAGCCTCGCACACAGGCATTTTGTCGGGCTTCGGGTCGGCTTGTCATGTCATAGAGTGAATGGTTCCTGCACGTCACCGGGGTACCAGCGGGGATAGCCTCGCACACAGGCATTTTGTCGGGCTTCGGGGCGGCTTGTCATGCCATAAAGTGCATGGTTCCTGCACGTCACCGGGGTACCAGCGGGGATAGCCTCGCACACAGGCATTTTGTCGGGCTTTAGGGCAGCTCGCCATGGACTGACTGGTTCCTGCACGTCACCGGGATAAAGGAGAAAATAACCTCGCTCCCAGGCATATCGTGAGGCTTCAGAGCAGGTCGTCATGGACAGAATGGTTCCAAGGCCCTGAATAGTTCCTGCACATCAACTGGGTATCTGAGAAAATAGTCTCGCTCCCAGACATATCGTGAGGTTTCAGGCAACTTATCATGGAGTGAATGGTTCCTACACGTCACCAGGATATCAGCGGGGATAGCCTCGCACACAGACATATCGTCAGGCTTTACAGTAGCTTGTCACGGGTGATGGCCAGAGGCCTTGCACACGGACTCCGGGAAGTCACATAGCGGCTTAACGCAATACATTGGCGTGGCCCTAGCTTTGATATTTGAAATGTGAGAATTGTACACGGCAAATGTACTGAATATGGATAAAAAAACAATGTACCCAAAATGAACATTTCTTCAGCCAAAAGCCAACAGTGGTTTAATTTCTGCCTTTTTTGTAAATCGATACATTTGCTGACAACCTGTTGATATCGTACTAATTTTTGCTTTCAGTTCCAGTGGAAATATTTTCTGTATCTATCAGACATGTGGATAAGCAGATTTTAATCGCTTAAATTTTTCTCATATACGAGACAATTCTAACACCCCTTAGATACTTTCCAACTATACGCCAGATATATAATCCGTTATTGTATCAGATATATATGTTAATATCATTAAGATTTCGCAGCTCAAACTGCTTCGGTCACACGATAACTGTCAATGTAATATCGCATGTTGGGCACCGCTGTGTATAACAGACGTATACATCTGTACGTGGATTTGACATGACCGCCTAAGTGCGAGTCTTAACGTGATTTTAGTTGCCCCAACACTTAATTAACTCCTGACGTTTTGACGGCGCGGTTCCGCGGGTTTTTTTGTTCCTCATCTGGTCCGTTCCCACCGCACTCCACTCAAGCCGTGCTTTTCTTTTATTGTGGCGAGTTTGCCGCACACAGACCTGAGTACTTACTACACAAAGCACACCCGCCCCTCCCCCTTTCACCATTAACACTCAACCATCCCCGGCTCCCAGCAGCTCCACGCTACACTCTGCTTTACATACAAGTACACCACAGTGCTAGCCAGCGGTGTAGGGTCCCACCTGTCAGGCTACACCTGTTCTGTTGATCTAGCTTTATTGTCAGGTGTTTTCTTTTGTCGCGTGTCACGGGGAGTTTGGAGGGAGATTAGAGCAGAGCGACTGAGAAGTCTGTAAAGCCTGCGATTAGTCCCAGAGGTCAATAGGGCACGTGGTTCGGGTATTCTTCTGTAGGCAGTATCTTTGTTGTGCATTCAGTACGGGGTTTGCTATCTTTCCCTTCACCTGATGCGAACATGTTGTATTTCAGTATTACCAAAGGGGACTGTAGGTTCTATAGAGAAGTCGGGACAAGTAGAGGCCTCGCCTGAAATGTCAATAATCTATATTTATGTTAGCTTTGCTTTGTGTTGTCATATTCCACCTATCGTGTCGGGATAGGTATTTGTTCACTTGCTCACTATTTAGTCAAGTAATGAAAGCTGCGTGGATAAAACGTACGTCACAATGATAGTTATGTTATATGAATGGATGAATGGAAGACCTTTATTGTACGTTTATGCTTTGCAGGCTAAGTATATGTCATGGAGATGTAAAATTACAATGATATTAAAACATGATAACTTACTCTGAAACTGACGATTATAATATCCATAGGTACGCAACACAGCGATGTCTACATTTTCATTTCCGTATACTGAAGATGGCAAAGTAATCTTTCATCTATTTAGACATTCATTAATTCTTTCCTTCCTTCCTTCCCTCTCATTCATTCCACATTCGTTTAAACTTAAGTAATGCATGTGGTGCTAGCATTAACTATGTCAGCATATATTCTATTTGTCAATTGTAGTAATAGTAGTTGTAATGGCTTTTGTGGTCACTTTTTTTCGTAATGTCCGATGCCAAATACAAGGCCTTTTTTTTAAATACATGTTTTCATTAGGACAGTATGTTACACATTCAAAAGTCGCTGTATGTATCCCTTGGACAATCTGGGTTTGGATATACCGAGGAGGAGAAGCGAAGGTGTAAGACTCTATCTGTCCAATACCTATCAAAACATACAGATCATAGTCACAATAACAATTATTATAAAACCTATAGATACAGCTCAGTGTAACAGCCAGAGGGGACACTTAAAGTCTCTACAGTACCAGTTTACGCTTTGTCATAAATCTTCATAATACAATGGATATCAATTATCATTTATTCCTCATAGGTAATGACGGGGCTCGTTTCAAACGCTTCGTCTTTTTTTCAAAATGAACTCAATTCTTCTGACATATCAATTGTTTCTTCCATTCTTTGGCTACTTGCTGCTAAACACCAGTTATTGTCAGGGATTGTCTCAGATAATAGAAAGACGAACAAATTTTACACAGGGACAATAAATCTAATTTCTTTTTGAAGGGAATGTGAGTACTTTTGAGACCGCCCTGATGAAAACAATTTTGTTCTTTGCCCGCGGTCGAGAAGATTGTGAGTTTTAAAACCAGGTGGTCTAGATTTGGGAGAGATTAACTCGAGCGGATGAAGACATATAAAGGAGGGAATAATTGCAGGATTTGTCGACACAAGTAACAGTGTATTGTGTTATGTATTCAAGTGATAAGCAAAGGCAAATAAACAGTTTATAAAACAATGACTCAAGAATCACGGTAGAATGGATCGAGGAAGAATTGTCATACATGTCCATTGGACTTGTAAGATGGGAATAAAATCAAGGAAGAGGCAGCAAAATTAAAACAAACCGCACAGCGAGAGAAGCGTATCATATATTTTATTTTGAATTGTACACTATATAACGATAAACGCACAGAGCTGTTCAACATTCTCTCCGCTTGCTCAACAGAATTTGTTACATTTCATGCTATAGATAAATTTAATTTCATCCTAGAAGGTAATGACCCTTACTGTGTACAAATAGGTAAATATATCAAAGAATGTTTAGACCTTAGAACAAGTAGTCTTAGTTAACTCATCTATTGTTTTGTACGTAGGTTAATTTCGTTGTACCCATGTATATTTGTCTGTATATCTACATGTCTTAGACCTTACGAAAGTCGCTGTACTTTTGTTGTGTCAATTAAGTTCTCTCTCTGTATTATACGTATCACCCACC